AAAAAAAAAAAAAAAAAAAAAAAAAAAAAAAAAAAAAAAAAAAAAAAACATATTTTTTAAATATATATATATATATATTTATTTATTTATTTTAAACAAAATTTTAATGGATAATTTCTATTTTTAAAATTAATTTTGGTAAAAAAATATAAAACATCATAATAAATCTAATAATTTTTTATAAGAGAAAAACATAATATAATTTTCCATCTATTTTTTAAAAATTCAAATTCAAATTCAAATTAACCTTGAAATATATATATATATAAGCGGGTTGAAGTCAAGATTGGGAAGAGTACAAAGAACGTCTAAGTCAAGACTGGAAAGAGTACAAAGAACGTCTCATTCGAGGCAGGTTAATTTTTTTTTGGGTATGTAAATATTTGTAATAATAAGGTATTTTGTGAAAGACTAATTTCAAGCAATTTCACACTTGAAAATTTATTAGCCGCAAAGATAAACCAACCGAATTAGATATTCAACTCCGAGAGTACCTATAAGTGTCAATGCTACAACAAAACGAGTAATTGAAGGCTTCAAAATAAATTTCAACCAATGTAATCCATAAGACTTTTAGATCACAATATCTCGAACTCATCATTAGTTCATTTCCATTGGTGCAGATACACAATCTACCTATTCCTACTAATCATGGAATATAAATTCGATCCAACAACGTAATGACGACCATAGACAATATTGTGGCGACCTACTCCAATAATTTCTCATATTTCCCCCTGCTCAGTTGTTCCTCACCCCTTGTTGTATCATGAAAGGAAAATAATGCAGAAGAAAAGAGAAACGCATATCCAGAATATCATCAGGCCATAAAGCTGTGTTGTATGTTGGCATCATAGTAAAGCTTGGCACTACGCATCAGATTTGCCTAACAGAGGTTTAGTTAACAGAAGAGATTTCGGTGAATACAAACTACCAATCTCACAGTTTTCTTCAGCATCAGGATGGATGTTTTGAGCGGTTACTTATCAATATTATTTCTGCAACTCACCTGACCTTGCTTCTGTTTTTTCATACCAGACCTCTCCCCCTCTCCTCCTTCCAAAGCTCTCAATTTGTTCTTTATGGCAGCAATCTTATCGCTGCGACTCATATGTCCGTAGTTGCTGCCACTCGGTCTTGATTTGCTCGTCTCACCTGCTGTTCTTGAAGTATTATTATTATTATTATTTGTTGTGTTAATCATGAGCTTCTCACTCGCAAGGCGCACGACCAATGGACGACTGCAAGCTAATTTTCCATGCATATTCTCTTTAGCCAATTTAGCTTCCTGCATACTCACTTTACAAGCAAAAATAAGGAATTGCTTGACAGAGGCTTTTTAGTAGTAAACCAAGCAATTTACCTCCTTGGAGCTGTATTCAATGAAGGCGAATCCGCGTGGCTCTCCACGCTTTGGACCACGTGTATGCCACAAGAAATCCTCAGATATTATCTTCCCAAAAGGAGAGAACATTTTAATGAGAGCAGCTCTGAAACATGTTGATACAGACTTAAATACAGAAGAGCGAAACTGGAAGACAAATAAATACATTGCAGATGCTGGGAAACTAATGTTCCTTACTCTGTAATTCTGAGGTCAAGATTACCAATATAAAGTTTGCTTTCACACTTCTCATCAACAAAACCACTTGAATCCTGCGGCAGTCATTCCATATATAAATAAATAATTAGTGACTGTGGGCTTGCTAGCAAATATTGTCTTCTTTGGGTTTTTCCTATCGGGTTTCCCCTCAAGGTTTTTAAAACGTGTTTGCTAAGGGGAGATTTCCACACCCTTATAAAGAATGTTTTGTTCTCCTCCCCAATCGATGTGATATCAAAGCCAGACACCGGGCGATGTGCCACAACAAAATATATACTCGAGAAATTCAGCTAGAAAATATCTACTAGCAGTGAGCTTGAGCTGTTACAAATACAGCTAATAGCTAAATAAGTTTAGAGAACCAAAAAAGTCAGTCAATTTTATAAATATAAAGGCTTTTCATAAAAAATATACTCGGAGAAATCCGGAACCTGTGTTGACACAGTAAATTGAACTTATATTTTAACCATATATATAGTATTAACAGAGAATTCACAAGTGGAAACAAAAAACAACTAGGCTAAGAACCGTAAGGCTCACGTATAACTGAAAGGTAGTATCCAATATATTACCACAATGTCTATGGCTGTAGTATAGAATAATGCAAGTGCGTTAGGTTGGATGCCGATGTGGCAGACTACAAGACTTAGTGGACAAAGAATCTAAAAATAAGAAAGCAGAATCAAATACCAACAGAAAACTATTATTCTCAGGAAGGTTTCAGCAAAAAGCTTCAAAACAGTGATAATTTTGACTTCACCAGCATTCTCCACCTGAGATGTTTTTTTCTCCTTTTTTTCTTCTTGTATTATTATTATTATTATTTCATTTTATTATTTATTGTGGCAAGGGTGGCTCTAGGAGCATACAAGAAGGCAGGTCAATTAGTGTTTATAAAGGAGGGAAAATAGTTACAAAATGTTTTGGACAAGAACTCCAAAAAGAAGCAACAAAAGTAGCATTCTCCCAAGTATTTGTAAGTTCCTCACATTCGAAATGTTCTCTAATTTCATTCTACTCAGCCTCTCATCAAAGCCCAGAATGAAACTTGTCTTCAAAGCTATCGAAAATATGGTCCAGTCAAACTATTGGATACAGTTTCCCTCTTGGCTTCCCAAGAAGGATGATAAAGAAGTCTGTATGATGAAGATACCCTCTCTAATCCCCATTTTCCATTTGAAATAAAGATTTTTCTTCTCATTTGGCATCTAGTAATAACCTATGGGAGTGTGCATGCTTAGTAATAATCTATGTGAGCACCAATTTGAACTTTTTAGCCAAATAAGGTCTAGTGTCCTTGATCTCCACAACAATGCTCTTTTTGGAATGAAGCAGGTATACATTTCATTAATGCTAACACAAGCAATTTTAGACGAGAGGAAAATGTTGGAACGAAGTCACAAAATTGTTTTTTATGATATTCCTTGTTCCAGGACATCAGAATCGAAGTGACACCTGTGCCCAGGACTTTGCCACTCCAGGAGAAACTAGTTTCCAAAATCTCTTCCTCCATGAAGTTTTGCACAAGTCTGATACTTTCTAAATGAGATGGAATTCCAATTGTAGCACTCAAGTAATAATCTTTCCCCAGTGTCTGTTCAAAAGGGCTCAAAAATTCAAGATCTATCCTCCCATCCAAGATTTTCATCTCCCGACCTGACCCATTTTTGTTTGCATCTCTATCTCCAAAAACATTCCTCCTTGCTGTCAAGCCAAGAAGACTGTTTTTCAGTTGAATCTTTTGTTATTGTTTTCCTCGTCCAATCTGCCACTTTCCAGTAGAACTTCAGGAGCACTAGTTTTTCTTTTAGCTCTTTCATCTGTTCCAACATTTCTCCTTGAGGGATTTCAACTGTAGCATGCATATGCAACTGGCCAGCCATTGAACACCAAGGTTTCCCCCCGATCTTCAGTAGGTGGAAAGATTGTTCAAGGATAATAATAAATGAGGGCTCGGAAAGAAGGGTGGTTCAAACTACATAAATTTTAAACGAAAAGAGGGTGCAGGGCCCCAATTTTAACTCTCGAGTTGCTGATAAAATGAGAAGGTGATCTGAATTTACCCCTTCATTCACGAATCTGACAGTAACCTACAGTGAACCAGATATACATTTTCCACCGTACTTTTCAGGATAACTTATCTTGCTCCTGAATAAATATTTTTACCCTCCATTCAAGTGGCTATCCCCACCAAAAATACCGGCCACTAAATTAGAGAATGTGGAAAGGAACTTGTGTAGGTATAGTCAATCGCATGATCTCAAACAAAAAACTTGGATCTTTTTTTTTTTTTTTTCTGAAAAATAATTTGGTTATTAATAATGTGCAACTTTACAATCAACAAATCAGGCACAGATTCAAGGTTAATTATAATTTAGAATAGAACCATCCAAATTAATTCCAGGGTGGATACTGTGGACTTAAGACTCTATCTCCATAAAAATTAACCTGCTAGTAGGAAACACCAGAAGATGATAACATTTGACAATCATCAAACATTATTCAGCTATGACCGATGTCATAAAATGGGAATTCAAAAAAAAGTGCCTATAAGATATGATATTTAGACTCAAATACTAAAAGAATAAATGGTCAAAAGGAAGTGAATGCATAAAAAATAGGATCAGGAATATACCATAACCATAAGTAAGCCAATCAGCAAGTTCAGCTCCACAAAGTATAGGGATTTTTCTGGACTTCACAGGATATCTGCACGAATTTATATATGATAAAATAACAACTTCAATAATATTTCTTATTAAGAAACATCCAAATTGATATAAAAATAGTTGTTATGTACAAAGTTTTTTAATACAAGATAGAAACATATCACCAACAGGCTAACTATTCTTAGTACGGTCAAAACCCCTAGACTCTCCCTCATATTCAACCTACTTTCCAGCGTATACATTCTTGCCGAACAATATACAAAGCTATAAAATATATAAAAATCCATAAAAGTGAACACATTCGTTCAATATGTATTGGTATTAAAATGGTTGCAATTCTTCTCTTCACCTCTGTCCATGCC